GATGGAAGGCTGAGTCAACCTTGAGCCGGTTTTCTCTCTCGATAGATAGATAGATAGATAGATAGATAGATAGATAGATAGATAGATAGATAGATAGATAGATAGATAGATAGATAGATAGATAGATAGATTTCAATACATCACAGCATCATCGAACAAGGAGAGATTTAACCTGGAAACAAGGAGAAACTTTCTGACAGTGAGAACAATCAACCAATGGAACAGAAGTTGTGGGAGCTTCATCCCTGGAGGCTTTCAAGAAGAGACTGGACTGCCATCTGTCAGAAATGGTGTAGGGTCTCCTGCTTGGGCAGGGGGTTGGACTAGATGACCTACAAGGTCCCTTCCAACTCTGATTATCTGTTATCTGTATTAGCTTATATAGATAGTAGCCCAGAGACCCGAGGCAGAAAGCTAGGTTGTTTTTTTTTGAGGGGGTCCCCTCTGCAGTTAAGATTTGGGGGAGGCAACAGAACAGTTGCGCGAACGAGCAGGGAAATTGCCCCAGCCTTTTTCGGTGAATGGGTGATTACAGGGGGGCGGGGGAGGTAAGGGTTGCGTCATTCAGGACCCCTCTTCTTCCTTGCCCTCCCGGTGACTTTGAGAGGGAGGGGCGAGCGAGGGGACTATGAAACGAGTTCGAGTCGAGGTAACTGTAAGCGGACGCAAGAAAGGCGCTTTCACCCGCCGAAGGGCAAACCCAGCGAACACCTTAAACGTCCGGAAATGATCCGATGACTCATAAAATCGATCAAACTGCCAATCCCGCGGGCCCAAAGTTGGCTGCCCGAAAGTCGCTGTGCAAATCTGAACTTCCCTCCCCCCTTTTTCCTCCTCTTTCCCCATCCAGAAGTCTTAATACCAAGACGAGGGGTAGCAATTGTACCCTTAACGGAGTGACCTTGCGGGAAAGTGTTAGACTGGGAGTGGGGAGGAACTGGGCTCTGAAACGGGGGTCCAATTCTTCCAAGTCACAGTTCAGACGACCCCCAAATGAAGGTTTTGTAATGAGGGAGGGGAAAAAGTTTCATATGAAACCCTCCCGCTTCCTCCCGTCAAAACAGTTTCTCTCCCCCGCCTCCTCGTTTAAATCCATTTTTTTACTTGGATGTGTGTATGTGTGTGTGTGTAAATCCCCGGCCTTGTACATTTTAGCGAGGGATGGAGGCCATTCATTCACCCCAAACTTGGAGGGGGGGGGGAGACAGGGCTCATCATCTGAGACGCGGGGGCCGAGAAGGGGGGGGGGGGGGGGGGGGGGGGGGGGGGGGAGACATCGGGTTGGGTTGGGGTAGTTTTGAAGAAGGACTGAACCAGGAGAGATTCAACCTGGAAATAAGGAGAAACTTTCTGACAATCAACCCATGGGACAGAAGTTGCCCTCGGAAGTTGTAGGAGCGCCATCACTTGAGACCTTCAAGAAGAGATTGGACTGCCATCTGTCAGAAATGGTGTAGGGTCTCCAGCTTGGGCTGGGAGGGGTTGGACTAGATGACCTACAAGGTCCCTTCGAACTCTGATTATCTGTTGTCACCCTGCGCCCTGGAGTGACCCAGCGGGCCAAAATCGGCAGGGGAATTTCCTTTGGAAAGAGAGACAAAAACCCAACTTCCCTTGGCTATTGGGGGGGGGGGGGGG